TTCCCCTCTCCCCCTTGCCTGCCCAAACAGCTTGTTTTATTTCTTAATGGATTTTTCAAAGGCAATTTAATATTCATTTATACACACACATAAGTAATTTAAATAATGACTTAAAAACCCTTCACCTGAATACTATGTGACTTTAGTGGTGTGTGTGTGTGTGTGTGTGTGTGTGTGTTTAGCTTGTGGGCCACTCTGACATCCAGGCTGGGGGGGGGTCTGTGTACCACAGCCTCCTTCTTTAGACTCGTGTGTGTGTGTGTGTGTGTGTGTGTGTGTGTGGTGTCTGTTTGTGTGTGTGTACCACAGCCTCCTTCTGTAGACTCGTGGTGTGTGTGTTTGTTTGTGTGTACCACAGCTTCCTTCTGTAGATTCGTGGTGTGTGTGTGTGTCACAGCCTCCTTCTGTAGACTCATGGTGTGTGTGTTTGTGTGTGTGTTTGTTTGTACCACAGCTTCCTTCTGTAGACTCGTGGTGTGTGTGTGTGTGTGTGTGTGTGTGTGTACCACAGCCTCCTTCTGTAGACTCGTGGTGTGTGTGTGTGTGTGTGTGTGTGTGTGTACCACAGCCTCCTTCTGTAGACTCGTGGTGTGTGTCAGTCTCCTTCTGTAGACTCGTGGGATGTGTGTGTGTGTGAGTGTGTGTGTCACAGCCTCCTTCTAGTGTCCTGGGTGCGTACACGCTTTTCTTCAGAATGCTCTGCACGGCTCCTTGGAGAACGCCTCTTTCCAGGCTCTCTGTTGCCATTTCCCACTTTTTATTAGAACGATTGGTTTTCCCCACCTGACTTTGAACCCCGAGGGCACTAAAGTCTTCTGCCTCTTCAAACCCGAGCACCAGGCCTCTGAGGAAGCACGGATGGCTGTCTTCTGTTTTGTTTTGAGAACATTTTTGGTTCATCTCCAAATGAGATGGGTTAGAAAACCTCTGAAAATACCGAACATGTGCCCACTGCTTGTGGAGACTCAGGAAAGGCGAGTTGAAAGGGGACAACCTGGAGCAAAAAGGCCCCTCTGAAGTTTGCAGGTGATGATCACTGGAGTGATTTGCTCAGGTTCCCAGCCATGTTGGTGTCACAATCAAAGTCCCCTGTCCTTTCCTCTAGAGACGTAATGCAGTTTTTTAAACCTTGGCAAGTTTGTCTTCATTTTATTTAGGTGTTTTCAAGTGTCCCTTCGTTCTTGAAATAGTCTATGTGTTTTCTCATTTAAAAAGGAAGAAAAAAACCATTGTAGAACATTGAAAGAAAGTAAAACTGTAGGATTGTTTCCCAAAGATACCCTGCGGTCAATCTCCGTGGTTTCTACTTTGTAGTCAATAAAGCGGACACATTGGACGACCATGTCTTTCTCTTGCCGAACACTTGATTCCAGGCTGGGAGCTTTTGCTCAGCACCCGAAGGGCTTCCTAAGCACCAAAACCTCAAACTATTTTAGGATTTGTTTTTAGTTATTTTGTATATACATGATTTACATTTCCCAGCATGTGATAATAATGAACACATTTTAAAAATTGTTTTATTGGGGGCTTGTACAGCTCTTACCACAATCCACACATACTAGACACATTCTTAAAACATTTTCCACTTAGACATTGTGAACATTGTTCGGTGCTAAACATCACTCCCTAGTATCTGCCTCGACTAATTTTTCTCCTCTCTCCCATAAACAACTGATCTACGAGTCACTTTATGCATACATAAACAAGAGTAAGTACAAAAAATACATCGCTATTTGGATTCCTGTTCACGTTTAAACATATCTGCACTCAGTGGGTAAATGCAGACAAGTTCTCTCGGTGACCCACTTCTCTTAGTCTCATTTCGAATGCATTCACAACAAAAGGTCTACTCAGAAAAGTGACTTCCTAGGGGATCAGATGGGCCAGTTAAATTCAAGGCAGAGGTCAGCTCAGAAGTTATGGGGTGATTATTTTTCAGAATCCCAAAGGGATCATATGGATACATTTCCCTCAGTGGACACAAGACAACTATTGGGGCAAATTATGAAGAAGTTTTAAGAAAATTGAGCAGTGCTTTGGCGAGACATGGGCCAGGAAAGTTGTGCGGGGGAATTGTTTTCCACCACGATAATATTCCTGCTCATTCGTGAACGGTGGCTAGAGTTGTCTTAAAGAAAGTTTCATTGGGGACACCTGATACCGTTTACTCTACGGTCCTGATCCTGCCCCCAAAGGCAAAGAACATTTCAAAAGAAACACGATCTGAGTCCCTCGCAAAAGCCCAAACTATCGTTTTTCCATGATTTAAAATGGAAGAGCTCAGAGTTTTGGGGGGAAGGGTAGAAAGATGGAAGCACTCCCTGAAGGGAGGACATGTCTAGAAATAATGACCACATTTTGATATTTTTGTTTAAATGTTTTATACTTTCATACTAATACTTTTTGACTTAACCCTTGTATGTAGTGTGTGTACATCCATATATCCATCTCTTTCTGTGTGTTTGTGTGTGTGAGAAGGAGCCTTGGGGTGTAATGGTATATATGTTGGGCTGCTAACCATGAGGTCAACAATTTGAACCCTCCAGCCGCTCTCAGAAGAAAGATGAGGATTTCTGCGCCAGGAAGATTTGCAACCTCGGAAACCCACAGGGGCCGCTCTACTCTGTCCTACTCTGTATCACTTGGTAGCAGTGGAAGTTTCGTGTGTGTGTGTGTGTGTGTGTGTGTGTGTGTGTGTGTACAGATATAGATATATATCTATATATCCATGTTTTTTTCTTTAGAATAAGTTACTACAAATGGACTCAAAGGATTACTTAAAATGGATATTTAAAATAAACTTGTCATAAAATGTTCTAAATTGACCTGCAAAAATGCTTTGCCAGTTAAGACTGTCAACACAGTGTGTAAGATTGCTTTCCTCTGGATACTTTTTAGTTGTTGTCATTTTTAAAAGTTACTGTGAATTCAGTTTAAAAAAGGACTTTAACTACCAGTTCTTTGATTTGTAGTGAGATCAACCCTTTAATTATTTCCTGCTCATTTGTAAATTTTGTGAGTGACTTTCTCACGCTGTTGCCTACTTTTCAGCTGATGGTCGTTTTCTTTCCATTAGCTGACTGCTACATCTTCCTTCTGTGGAGCAACTGGTGGGTTTGGACCACCAGCCTTTTAGTTAGTAGCCGAGTGCTTAACTAGTGCACCACCATGGTTCCTTGCTGAGCATATAGAAAGTGCTTAAAAATATTTGCTGAGTGAATGAATAATGCTGAATGCATGGATAACTAAAAGCAAATTTAAAAATACAGTACAGAACATTTTGAAAATCACATTGCACATCTCTGCCTATGAATATGTGCAGACATATGCCCCTCACTGCCATTGAGGGGATTCTGACTCATACTGGCCCCCTCGGGCAGAGTCATGCTGCCCCTGTGGGTTTCTAAGACTTAACTCTTTATGGGTTCAAGCCACTGACCTTGTGTTTAGATGCTCAATGTATAACCTACTACAGCACACATGTGGATGATAAGTATATATTTTTCACACAGAACGTATAACACTCATAGAGTTAAAAAGTAGTGGCCATTTTTATGTCTATAAGCAAGGATCTGTTTAATTTCAATAGTAACATAGAATTCCATTGTTTAGAATGGAATTTACTTACTGATGAGTAATTGGGTTATGTCTACATTTTTGTTACCTAAAAAATGCTATGATTGACATTCTTGTACATTCATAGATTCTGAGTACTTGCCTGAGTATTCGATGCACATGTAGTACTACATATATATTGTATGTGTATACAAATTTATATTCTGTGCCTGTGAGTCTACTCACCAACGGTGAATACTTTATTTTTTTAAAGTTATTATACCAATAGTGGAAAAGAAAATCCTCTTTATTTCTATTTTTTTAACCAGTAAAATATTGTTTGATGTATATTTTAATGATTTGTATTACTTCAATGAGTTTCCACTTCATTCCTTTTATCAATTAAAAAAAAAACCTCCCACACTTACGGGGTTTACTAGAGAAGTTACTTAGTCAGTCACTGCCGGTCGGGTCAATTCTGACTCCACTCTACCACCAGGGAAGCCGACAGGTTACAATTCAGGCTCAGAAATGCTCA